AGAGAGGCAGACCGGTCGAAAAACGTAACGACGTTCCCGTGCTCTAGCCGGGAGTTCGCGGGCCAGGCCCAGGTCCAAGACAACTATAGAAGGATATGAATACCGCTGTCGACCATGAAGGACATCACCTGGAGCGAGGCCTGTAGCACAGTCCCTCCGTCCAAGTCGTCAGCTGTAAAGCTGTCCACGACGCCCCGGGCTGGTTTACGACGGTGGGTAGCAGCAGTTGAAGAGGTCACAGTGCTCCTTTGGGAGGCAACCGTGCCCTTAGGAGAGGAGCTGGCCCGCTGGCCCTCCCGACTACGATGTCGATGTTTTCGTAAACGAGGCATTACGAATACAGGAGCTCAAGTCTAGGAAGCATACCGTAATCTGGCCAATATTTGCCATCACTATGAGTGAGAAAATTGACCGAAGTAGTCGTCAGAAGTTGTGGGGGAAACATACCAGTAGTCCCATTGACACTGGCAACACCAGGCACCCCAAGTATGGAAGCTCTCGCTGTGTTATATAACACTACATAAACGATGAACACGGTGTGGCATGTGAGCGGAGGTTCCTGTAAGAGCAGTATGATGATGAGATGAGCAACCCAGCATCATGACGTACACTCCTCCTGCAACAGCATACCCTGTCACTGACAACACAATACTCACACCGAGATCGAGAGATCTACTCATAGGAAAACACTACCTCCCAACTAAGGGATTTAGAGGGATTACTACGACACTCATAGTCGGGTCTGGCCTGATCCGAAGGGAGTCACAGGTTTGGAGCCTGTCTGCGGTAGCCTCGCCTGAGCCTGCACTCATTGCATTCACTCTCACTTCCCTCCTTCCTTGCCCTAGAGACGGGACCCTTTGGGTAGCTACGACTACCGAGTATTTAATACCGTACCCGAACGAGGTGACACACACGAGAAGGAAGAGGGCCTATTTAGGATGCTCCTCTGGTGCCGTGCTCACAGGCCCTGGTAGCCTGAACATTTAGTGAGGCCACCTTTATTACACTAGAGCCTATGAACCGCCGTGGCGAAACTCACTGTGGCCAATGATGCATACCAAGGATTCCGTTATAGTTATGCATAGCCATAACCTGTCGGCGTGGACCGTCCTGGACTCAACGCCTACCATCTTTGCGATACAGAACCTCGGATGGATAGCGATAAGCCCTCAAAAACCACACACTGCCCACTCCCAGTAGCCAGACAGAATATTGCAGAAGCTACGACATGAAGTGGACCATCACCGCATCGTGAGAGTAAGAACCCTCTGATAGCCGCAAAACTTTGGATCTATCTCCTGATGGGATATGATGAAGGAGGTTTTCGTGCTGGGGGACACCAATCTTGTCAGGAAAATCCCGAGCCCCAGAATTGAACCCGGGATCTAGTTAGATCGACGCAGGCGTACGAGGTCTTCTCGTCACGAATGCCTAGTTGATTAATGCGAATAATTTGACCCAATTACAGCCAACTGCGATCACACTCCTGCAACCACGCTCCGAGGCGACACCTCGGCCTCCGAGCAACGTTCAGCAGTCCCAAAGGGCCCATGAATTGGTGACCAAACTCTACATTAGATTGTATGCTAACAAGCGTTGAAACAGTAGCAGTCAATGTAACCACCCTCAAAGGTCCTCATAGGAAGCGGCTTGTCGTCCAGTCGGTGTGCCCCTATAAACCAACAAGAAGCCTTTCAAACATCATCCTAGTAGCAGCCTTACGCATTGGGAGCAGCGGCCGCCCCCCCGGGTGCTTGTGAGCCCTTCGCCGCAGCAGCCTGCAGAGCTCCGAAGAGTCTATTGAAGGCTGAGGAGGTTCCAGCACCTGCAGCACCTGGATAAGGAGAACACCAGCAATCAATAGAGAGATAAGTCTAGTCAGTTACCTTGACTGGCTCCACCACTGCCTTCCGAATCACCACCAGCACCCGACGTCTTGGCAGGCACCGCCGCAGGCACTGATGTTGTTAACTCCACTATTTTAATCTGATATGAAGTAACCGACAGTATCACTACGCACTACAGAAATGACAGAGCTGATCATACGACAACATAATAGGTTCCATTAGACAAGCGTGAGTGTTACCTCAGCTAACACACTCTCCAGTTGGGTCGGTGAGAGGTCCCCTAGCATAACCTCGGCTCCGTGCTGAAAGCCCATCATCACACGAGAGGACATTGATGACTTACCTCAGCAACAGCCTTGGCTAAGTCAACTACAAGATCCTTCGCCCGCTTGTAGTCAGCCTCTAGACCATTGGTAGTGACCAGAACGTGGAGTCGAGCTGAGCCTTGCAGAGCCTACAGAGAAAGATAGATACTCGATCTCAAGGCCGGCCACCAATACTCACCGCGCTCTGATTGCCAGCTAGGCTGAGCTTAGTCCCCGGACACTGGGAATGGACATGCTCAAAGTGAGCATTCCTATCACCACACAGATTGTTACGCAACTCATGCCAGCCCATGAGCTGAGCAGGCAGCTCCACGCGGCACTTGTAACTGATGAGAGTACAACTGCCGACAGCCTGCTGAAATACGTCCATCTACAGTGCTGGTCCCTGCGCGGTTTTCTGCGACGCTCCCAATGGCTTCTTCAATAGACGATCCACCAAATCGGTCTTCCGTCCGGTTACCTGAAGTAGCAACCTAGCCCTAGCAGCACCCTTCCATCAACCCTACTGGCAGGCCCTGGGCACGGAGCTTCTCCCGGAGCTGTGCTACTGACATCGCCATGTATTCTTCGCGTTGATTCTGGGGCTGAGCAATAGGACCAATAGGAAGTGGCACCAGGGATATGCAACATAAGGCGTCAATCGTGAAGGTCCACTCGGTAGAAACGTTGTGCAAGCTCTGAGTCCCGACTACGTTACGCCTAGTGATTCAAGACGGTATACTAGACCGATACGACTCCTATTATATCTTATAGAGAGTATCGGCAGGAGCCAGTGGGAGGACCAAATGCTAATTGTCAGAGCAACCAGCCTTACCGCATGATCCGAAGCATCATCCACTATGACCGCGTCTTGACCCATCTCCCCCTTGATCGTCGTTGGCCTAGGTTCTGTAGGACTAGGCGAGGGAACAGCAACGGGAGCCGCTATAGGGACTCTGAGAGTCAACAGAAATGAACCACTATCATACAGAGACGCGATTACCTCTGTGGTGGTTCTCCTTCATCACCATACTGAGCTCTGACCTCCCCACCAGCCGGACCACCAGCATGCCCTGCTGCCGCTGCAGCTGCTGCTGTATGCAACAACACGTCATCAGGTAGCAGCCATTCCACAGCAAAGCCGATGTATCTGCTCGGATAGCCCTGGTGGAAGAGCAATCATGGTGGATCAGCCCTACGGAGGCTCCATTTCGGGCACACGGTCAGGTGAGAGGCGTTCAAGCAGATGGTCCCCGGGTCGATCCCCGCTCTTGACACTTTGCTGTTTGACGCTAGACTTCAATGCAGTGACGTCACCGGTGTTAGTCCCTATAAACCCAAGCACATCCCGTCTCGTTCACCCCAGCACCAGCACCTCTCCTACCTAGCCGCCCGGTCTCGCGTATCTCCTTGTTGATGAGGTGTACAGACACATTACGTGGAAACAAGTTGAGAGCTGTGAGCTCGTCATCTCCAACAGTATGAACCATAGCCCACGGGTAACGTAGATATCTGAATTAGCAGCAGCAGCATCATCAGCATTCCATCATCGTTGCCATTACAGTAGTAGACGATGATCCCTCGCTGCGCACTGCACTGACCCAACAAATGTTCTAAGAATCTAGCACACGAAGAAGTAAACATGTCTGAGCATAGAGCCAGCCGATCCTGACCGACCTCAACACACATATCCTTATCAACCTTATCAGGCAACTCTTCCATCGCTTCAAGGAGGCTAGCTACCTCCTCAGCCCCCTTCCTCGACAGACGACACCTCTGCCCGACATCCATCCAAAATCGATCATCTGACATCACCATCCTGAGCCTTATTGCCGACTCGCAGGACTACCTTCAATGGGCTGGCCCTCCGGTGCTGTTGCCCGTATCCTCCCAATGAGCCCGATGGGTTCTAGCTGCCACGGTTCAAACCAGTACCTAGAGGATTCCATGTCCAAGCAACGGTGATGCTGATGGTGAGAACCTACACCCCACTGACAGCAGGTGGCTGAGCCGGCCACAGTGCGAAGAGCTGGAACAGAGATGAGTACACCGAATGACGAACTGCTGGAGAATCTGAGGTTCAAGACGATAAGATGCGGAACAGGTCATCAAGCGAGCATCCTACTGATAATCCGTTTTCTCTCCTCCATCTTATCATCAAACTCCCCTGGTTGTTCCCTCTCCTTGATCGCCACTGATGCCTCTATCTTCCGGGTTGATGGTATCAATATGCGTGTGAGATTCGAGTCCGTCTACACCATGAACAAGCAGACGATAATGCAGCACTCCCCATTCTACTACTGCCATTACCTTCGCCTCTATGCCCTGTGCATGCAGCCAGTGTTGTAAAGCATTAACCTCTTTATCACGATTGTCACCAAGCGTAATCTCCAAGCCTTGGATACCACCCCCAGGCAACTGAGCATGCAGCAACCACTGAGACCTATACCACTCCCCCTCCTACTCCTTACTGCTCTAGCTCCTCCATCATCAGCTCCTCCCGAGTATCGATCCATATCCTCACGCTTACCCATGCCACTCTGGTACTTAGAGGAGC